GAAAGGGATAGAGGCCAAAAAATTACAATTAAAAAAAGAAAGGGATAGAGGCCAATGTACATGTATTTATATGATAAGTCTTAAGTATGAAGATACTTAAGGACTCTGGACCTCTATCAGAACATTTTGTTCTGATAACCTGGCACTCTTTGATACTCACCATCCCGACATGATCACTGAAGACAAAATGAGTGCATAAGCAAATGTGGTGAAGAGAGCAGATGGTGCCGGCTATCAAAAGATACAGCTTCTGGGCTTGAAGTCAAACAAGCGGCCATCTAGCAGGGAAGCAAATAAGCCCACATGGGAGAAGCACACCAGCCTTTGTGATCCTGATGTGTCGACAGGATCAGGCAACAAGTATCAAAAGATCCAAAACAAACAACTATATCAACGTGCAAGAGTGGAGTTGGAATGGAGACCTAAAGCTCATCTGTAGAAAGTTGGATATCTCCACCACCACCCCCTGGGGTGGTATAAGGATGGGATGATTCAACCAAGGTATGGTATAACACCAATGAATCACATATCATTCCTCTAGCTCCTGAATACTTCCTTCCCTCACCACCATGACCCAATACTAACTTACAAATCTGGCTAGACTGGAGAATACACATTGGTACAGATTAAAGTTCTCGACATAGGGAATTCTGGAAAGATAAACCCCTCAGGAACAGTAATGGGGGTAGTGATATCATGAAGGTACGGGGATGGTCAGAGAGGGGGAAGGGTGAGAAAAGGGAAACTCATCACAAGATTGGATATATGTGCCCCCCCAGCCCGTGAAGGGGACGAATAATGAAAATGTGGGTGAAGGGAGACAAAGCACAGTATACAAAATAACAATAAATAATAGATCAAGGATACAGGAGGATGGCATGGTGGGGGAGGTAAGGGAATAAAGAAGAGTTTATAACAAGGGCTCAAGCAGAACATGTCTTGGAAATGATGATGTCATCATATGTACAAATATGCTTGATACAACTGATATATGGAATGTTAAAAGAGTTGTAAGACTCCGAGTCTTATTTAAAATAGTGCCGCTAATAAAATGATGGGGGAAAAAGAGGTAGTGACACAAGCAGAGTCTTGAGAATATCATGTGCAAACTTACTATATTCTCTTTGTCCCATGAACAGACACACCAAGTGTGTTGATTTATTTACCAGCCAAAGATAAAGAAATGTGTGTACAGTAATGCTTTTTTCCAGGGAAACCTGTGGGGTTAAAGGGAAGAGGGAACCCCACAAAACATCACAGGTTCGGTAGGCGCAATTGTACAGCGATAATAAGTAGAGATTATAGTAAAGTCATAGAGAGCATGAGAGTTAAAGGATGGAGTCAAGTAATGGAGTCAGACGCAATTCCTGGTAGCATTGCTTAGCCGTCAGAGAAGAAGCTGCTGTTTCATCCTCCTTAGCCACCTTCTCTAGCCACCCTCGGCCAGGCACCCTTGGCCAGCCACCTTCTCCTGAGAACCAGGGAGCCTCATTATTTATTGCTAACCACGCATCATATCGCTTTAGGGGGATCTGATTGCAGAGTCATACATCATAGAAAGGGGCAATACATTTCATTCCAGAACAAGTTTGATCATTCTGGTGTCTCATACAATAAAGCAGACACTTACAATTCTGGGAAGCATGCAAGTCCCCTGATAGCAGACAATAACCTAAGTCACAGGGAGGGGTAGCGACATAGGCAATACAATCAATAGGAGGGGGATGACCTAGGGGTGTGCCCACATTTGTTGTGGGATAAACAGTGGTGTCTGCTTGATCTAGACAGCTGATAATGGCTACCTAACGTTGGTCATCCTTGGGCCGGTTTGCCCTCTCTGGTATCTCCTGCAAGTAAACAGACCACCACTATCCTTATCAGAAGGGAGTGGGTCTTATTTAGGGTGAGTCAGACTAATAGTCTAGCCACTACAGATGGCTGATGTTAAGGAGAATAACCTCTGACCTACTTTCGCTGATCACCTATTGTACAGCCATTCTTAAGCAGCTAAGTCTGGTACATATTTTGGGGAGACAACTTAAGAGAAATCCTTCTAAAAAAAAAAAGAGAGAAATCCTTCTGTTCCTCACAGAAACCCAATAAATATCAGTGCCAAGAGACTTATCCCATAGGCACTCTCTACCGAGCAACTACCGAAATTCCAGAGTCCCAGAACAAAAGCAGGCGTTCAGAGCCACAGGTGGGCAAAACAGTCTTACCATGTTTTCTGTACATAAATGTAAAGAACTGCTTAGCAGCCAAGTTCCTAAATTCGAGGCAAAGGCCAACCTTATAAGCATGCTCTTCTGAGATAAGAGCCTCACTCTTACTATGTTAACTTTTCCTGCATAGTGAATATATTTGTATACATCTGATTTTTGCATATGAACAAGTATATCTGTAGGGCAAACACTGAGAAGTATAATTGCTACATCAAAGGGTATGGACATTTCTGATATTGATAGGTATTGTTCAACAATGCCAGTTTAAACATGCACCGACAATGTGTAAATGTTTCCCTCCACCGCCATTAACCCAATGAAACAAAATGCAAGTCCTCACTACAAACAAGGCAATGATGTTGGCCCTGGGGATAGAACATTTAGCCAAAAAAAGTGGTGCCTGACAACATTCTATAGGAAGAAGGAAGGAATAAATAAGTGAACACAATAATTTCAGGTAATGATTAATTATATGAAGAGAGTCAAGTTAGAATTGGACAAGGGGACTGCCTCTGATTTGGTAGTACAGAAAGGACTTTCCGATGAGACCATCTTTGAGATGAGATCTCAATTTCAAGGAGACAGATGAGTTTGGTTGAAAAGTTTATAGGCTCTACAGCAAACACAGACCAGAAGACAGTTGTGGCCAAAGGACAGGGAAAGAACAAGAGGGAGAACAACGTTGCAATTAGAGAGGACGATAAGCGTCAGATTGCAGAGGGCATTTTCTCAGTACAAGAAGCTTTTTGTTTGTTTTAATTTTTATTTGTCAGGGATTTTATTTTACTTGGATCTACAATCCATTCTGCTGGAAGCAGCAGTGAAGAAATCAAATGACATGTTGCATTGAGCAAATTTGCTGCAAAATATATTTTTAAAACGTTTTATTGCGAATTAGTTGGAGGTTTACATTTCAGATAATCCTTGTACTCAACATCTTAAACTACTGATCAACCCTCCCAATAACCTGTCCTCCTTCTTGTAGAACACTGTTATCCCCTTCATCCAAGTTAGCACCAATCTACCATATAGCCCAGCACTTGGCAAACTGTTGATACAAAAGAGTCAATACCATCCCTCATAACAGTTTAAAAATTATTCAAGAGAATTTTACAAATAAAGTCATCATTCTCTGAATAATAGCCTTTAAAACTTTTGTAAATGAAACTAGGATGGTTTTATGTTCATTTTCAATTTTACTTCAGAGCCACGTGTGCGTACCCAAAGAGTGGAAGATGGTTTCAAAGGCACAGGGTGAGAAGAGCTGCTCTAGCCTATTGGCTCCATTTCCATTTTTCCCTCCTACCCAGGTACACACCAAAGTCTGTTTCTTTCAGTGTGAACACCTTTGTCTGGATTTTTTTAATATAATATGGTCTCAAACAAAATCTGCCCTTTTGTTATTGATCAACTTCACTCAGCATGATAGCATCCAAATCCACCCATCCCATGAGGTATTTCACAGTTTCATCATTATTCTTTATTGACATATACTATCCCATTGTATGTATGTAACAATGTTTCTTTATCCACTCTTCCACAAATGGGCATTTAGATTGTTTACATTTTCTTGTTAGACTGAATAGTGCTGTGATGAACATGGGAATGCATATTGATCTACCTATTCATGCTATAACTCTTACTTCTTTAGGATGTACACCAAATAGAGGGATTGCTGGGTCATATGGTGTTTCTGTTCCCAGTTGCTTGAGGAAGCACCATGCTACTGTCTACAGTGTTTGTACAGTTTTACATTTCCCCCAGCAAGATACCAGGGTTTTAATGATATATAAGACAAGACATACAAATATTGGCAGATAACCATACAAGGCTTCATTCAGGCTAAGCAAATTAGATTTCAAAACTCCACTTTTCCATTTTCTACTTCAACAGTACTATTGGCATATAATTTACATATCATACAATTGGGTAGTTCAATCGTTCAATTCTATCTAGGGGAATTATACAATCACCACCATATCTATCTTAGAATATTCCCCAAACCCCCCCTCTGAACCCAATGTTAAATCTCCTTCAATATGAGTTGTGCTATCACAATCAGTTCTAATGCTCCACCCCACCACCCTCCACCCTCATTTCCCACTCCTGAAATCCCCTTTCCCTCCATCACCCATCCCCCACCCCTACATTCCCTATAAAACCTTGTATAATTAATTATCATTATACATCCACTCCTCCTGTGCTTCACCCTAGGAAACCCAACAGAAAACAAATCACATTAAGGTGGTAAGGATAAGCTAATAGTAGTAGAAACAAAAATAGAAATACTGAGTAAGAAGAAGAACCCCATCAACATTTTAAAGCCATGGAAGAAATTTCTATCAAGGAACAGTTAAAAGATACTTTCACCCAGAACAATTTCAGATCATGTCTTTAGGGAGGTCAACTTGCTAAGTGTCGTGTTCCATTTAGCATAATCAAGAATACAATGGTCTCTGCCTGCTAGTAAGACTGTTCTGGGCTCTTTACCTTGGGTAGAGCAGATCTGCCAGAGGCTTTGGTCTGACGAGATACTCTGCAGATGGGTTTGGGACTCCCACTGTCCTCCACTGCCTTACACAAATTGGGAGTTCATAATTCCAGCCCTGATACTTTTCCCTTCAACATATTCAAAATTTGTAACTGTCAACTTTAGATCACACAAGCTGGTGTGCTTCTTCTCTGTGAACTTAGTTGATGCCTCACTTAGATGGGTTCTTGTTTGAATACAACCCTTTAAGACCACAATCACTATTTTGTTTTTTTGGTTTTTTTTTCTGGCAAAGAAATTTATTACGTGTTCACCATCAAACTTATGATCTTGGCCTTTCCTTCTTGCCTTTGTATAAGGCCAAGAGGGACACATTGGCTACTTTGACAACCTTAAAGCGGACTCCAGGAATGTCACCGACGGCATGACCTTTGCGACCAAATCCAGCCACCAGAACTTCATCGTTTTCCTCAATAAAATTCAAGCACGCATCGTTGGGCACGAAGGCTGTGATTTTCTTGCCGTTTTTGATCAGCTGGACACGGACACACTTGCGAATGGCGGAATTTGGTTGTTTGGCTTCCACTCCGACTTTTTCCAATACGATTCCTTTTGCATGGGAAGCGCCTCCAAAGGGGTTGGCTTTCAGAGCTGTGCCCAAATGGGCCTTTTTGTACTGTTTATCGTGCCATTTCTGGTCCCGTCGGTGGCTGCGGAGCTTCCTAGCAGTACGAAGACCACAACACTTGCCCATGTTGGCGGCGCCGCGACTCCCAGCGAAAGAGAAAGACCGCCCAGGCCACAATCACTATTTTGATTGATAGTTGGGCACCATCTACTTTCTCCATCATATTTTGCTGTAACACCCTTATCTTCAGTGATCATTTCATGAAGGTGAGTATTGAGCAGGGCCATGATATAAGGACTAAATGTTCTTAAATTGGAGCTAGGATTTAGTGGGAGCACAGAACTCATTCCTGGATCTATACTTTTGCTTTTTTTAAATTTGCTGTGATTGGGGATTAATACACATCATATCATTTTATAGTTCAATCATGCCAAATGTCATTGTACAGTTGGTTCCATAATCAGTCTCAAAACATACTCTTCCTTCTTGGACTTTTTGAAGTCACCTACCTCTTATTGTCCCCACCCCTCTATGTTGCCCCACCCTCCAAAACCATGTTATGTTTTCTTTCCCTATAGTCTCAACATTCCTCAGTTTCGTTTACTGAGAAAACAGCGAAGCAATTAACACAGTTTCAAGAGGGTGACCCCCAATGGCAGCACACCTTGGAGATACAGCCTCATATACACAGGCATAAGCAAAATATAAGAGAAGGAAAGTCACAAGATTGCAGGAATAATACATCTCTTAATACTGCATACAGGGTGTTGATTTAGCAAGATCATGCTTATCCATCAATCAACAGTACATCACTCTTGGTACAGCTGTCTTCTGCTTCTTCAGACACCATGTGTTTTCCGGCTTCAGTCCTCAGGTTACAAGGGTGTCTGAGGTAGTGTTCAGTTCACCCAGTGAACTCACCAATGCAGCTTCTGGATCAAAAATACCACTTTTCTTAGAGGAAGTTGTTCTTGTTATCATGGACATATGAAAATTTTATGGACTTTGAAATGCACGGAAATTTTTGTTCAGAAAGAGAGAAAATGGCTACACTTCTCTTTGGGTTAAATTTTTTCTCCAATGTTTCTCACCATCTGAGATAATTAAGGTTTATTGTGCCAACCTGACCGATAAACACATATGGGATTAATTGAAGGGCAGAGAGATAAATGGCTCAGTGAGCCTTGTCTTTCTAGTTCTCTAGTCTCTTGTTCTCTGATGGTCAGATCAGTGTGCGGCTGCCTTAGCTAGTTCTTTGCCTCAGCTGGCAAGGCTCACTTCCTGCGAGACATCCCTGGGGAGAAGCTGCATGGACCTACCCTGATGCAGCCCTGGGTGCTGGAATACCTGTGTGGAGACCCTGGCCAGTGCTGAGATGCTTACACATTCACTGTTTTGGCTTTCTTCCTGCAGTCGGCGTCATTGCGTGTGCTTTGTGAGATTGAGAAGGACTTTGTAGATCAGTATCGGGCATAAGGGCTAATGTTTGGATTTATGGGCTTGGACAGCACTGGGTTGGGATGCTTTCTGAATGTACACTTACCCTTTATATAAAACTCTCTCTTATACATATATGAGTTTCTGTGGATTTGTTTCCCTTGTTTACCCAGAGTAACACACCATCTATTTGAGTTCACTTGTAGATGACATGGACCAGATGCTACAACAAACCAAGAAAAATCTTTTGATTGAAAGCACAATAACTACTCAGAAAATGAGGGCCTGTTAACAGTGTGTTTTGGTATGCCATCTGGCAAAATCTATATATAGTGCAGGGGCAAATGCTTCAGGTCACAACCGCTGGCAAATCCAATTAGTTTCTGTATTTTACCATAGAATATCTTCACCACCTGTCTTTCTGTCTGAACTCTTCAATCACTTCAAGCAGTTCACAAAAGGAACAAGGGGAAAAATAAGAATAAAAAACCTGGCAAGGCCATATGCCAAAATAACTCACATCCAGAAGACCAAATGTCTTTTAAATCCAAGAAATGGTTATTTATAGATCTGTAATTAGTGATTAAAAGCCAAGGGAGCATTTTGTTTTCCTTTGAACCTTAAACTCCTCTCAGCTTCTATGCATTCTCATAAGCAATGTGATGCTGAACAGCTCTGCCATTTCTTAGGAAACAACCCAGCAATTACTGTGACAAATGTGTACTTCACTGTTTATTTAGTTTCTCATGTATTTTCAGTTATTTTTTAAAGTGTGATCAAAGCCTAATTTTCTTTGGTCAACTTGCAGAAAGCTCAAAAATATTTCATTGTGTAGAAATTAGGTGATATATTAAAATGTAAAGCAAATTTTAATTAATATTAATATTTCTGGTGAAATAGTGATATTGAGGTAAGAAAAACAGGGCCAAACTTCCTACATTACACAGATTTAATTGCTGTGAAGTGGTAGCATTAGGCTCACATTAAGCTATCATTAACATTTAAATTATGTATATCTATTATAAATGTTTCTGATTATTTAAAAACTACACCCTTAAAGTGACTCTACAGAGGGTGTCCAAGGTTATGAAACTTTACAGGGACAGACAGCCTCATCTTTCTCCCACTGACTGGCTGGTGGGTTTGGACTGCTGATCTTGTGTCTAGTGGTCCCACACTGAGCTCACAGTGCCACCAGGCTCCTGAAATAAAATGTCTAAGTGGATATATTTGCTTAAAATGAATTTTTGTCCTACCGAGACAGAAATTTAGATTTTAGCAATGAAAAATAGAATCAGAAACCAGAAGAAAAGAAAATTATCAGTTCAAAGACCCGTTGCTTAAATGTGGACTGCACATAGTGACTTATTTTCATGATTATAGTATGGAAAAGAGAAAGAAGAATTTTATAATGCATACACCTGGACAATTCCTCAGCCAGGTGATCAAGTTCAATATCAACAGTAATGAATCTCACTTATAGATGTTCCCTTGATAAGATGTAATGAGAAGGCCACTTTGCCTCTGTGACCTTTCTCCCCCAACCCCATAACCTCACTCTAATCATTAGAAAAACATCAGACACATAACAATAGAGAAGTATTCTGTGAAATACTTGACCAGTAGTCCTCAGAGCTGTCAAAGGTTCAAAAACAAGGAAAGTATAAGAAACGGTCACCAACAAGACGACTCTAAGGAGAAAGACCACTACGAATAATGTATCCTGACTGGGATCCTGGGACAAAAAAAGGACATTAGGCAAAACTCGGGAAATCTGATTAACATATGGACTCTCACTAATTAATAATGATGTGTTAATATCAATTAATTAATTGTACAATGGAACTAATGTAAGATGTTACTGCTAGAGAAAATATGATGTAATATATAGGAACTGTCTGTATTATCCTCCCAAGTTCTCTATAAAAGCATTTCTAAAAAGTAGATTTAAAATAACAGTCATAATCATAATACATATAAACACACTAATAACCTAGATTTAGGTTTCTAGTCAAAAGGTTTTTGGAGACAAGGCTGATTCTTGGAGTAGGCTAGCAAATATAGATGATGAGGCTAGAGGTTAACGACCCTTTCACAGGGGCCGCCTGATTCATAACAGTGGCAAAATTACTGTTATGAAGTAGCAACAAAAATAATTTTATGGTTGGGGGGGGTCACCACAACATAAGGAACTGTATTAAAGGGTCTTGGCATTAGGAACTGTATTAAAGGGTCTTGGCATTAGGAAGATTGAGAACCACTGGGCTACAAAATTTTGTCATATCAGAAAGTAAAAAAGTGTTGTCAAACACACACAAAATTCACATGATGGGAATATGTCAAGAGGAAAAAGGAATAACCAAAATTACACCTAACAACAAAAGTGGGGGGAAATTACATAATAAAAGAATGGTGGATATTAGCATTAGGTGAAAGTTGTATGTGTAACAAGGGCCATATTAAATATCTTATGCATTGCTTGCTTCATTTAATCCGGGGAAGCACTGTGTGAGGTTGGCATGATTCTCTCAACTTTCCAAATCAGACTAGCCAGTCTAGTTACTTTGCTCAACGTCACATAGATTTTTAACTCAGGTTTTGAATTTTGGTGCTGCCTACCTACACAAGCCATAAGTTTTTCACTACTCAGTTGCCACCATGCTCTACTGCCTCTCACTCTAGTTCGTCCCACATCTATGTGTAGATTTTCCTCCTAAATAGCACATGTATAGTTTCCTGGCAGTGGTAATGAAAGCACAACATGGTGAATCTAATTATTGTCACTGACATATACATTTAAAATGTATAAAAAGGCAAGTGTTTGTTGTATAGATTTCACTAGAGTAAAAAAGAAAAGTTATGGCAATTTCCCATTAAGGAATTTTAAAAATTGAATAAGTATGAGGAGTTTTATGTTACAGTTTATTATTATTCATATAATTGTAAAAGACAGATAAATCCTGAACATAAAAGAAACCACAAAGCTGAGGAAATGATGACACCAATCAAGATAGTCATAGCTCAGCTTCTCATAGGATGTCATTTTGCATTCAAAATCAGCATTTAATAAGTTATGGTGGACTGAATTTGCTTTATATGACTCTTTTATTCATAGCCTTTGTAGCTCTCATCTCAGGACTCTAACTCGGGGATTGGTCAAGTTGTGCCATTCTTCTGAGTATAAGAGAACCATTTGAGAAGCAGGATCAGGGAGAATCCTGTGACTATCAAGAAAGAAGAGCCACCAGTGAGTGTGATCCCTATCTTAAAAGGCATAGGCACCAGGTCACCGCCAAGACCATGAATTGAGCAGAGTCAACAATGAGCTCATGAGGATGAATGAGAGAATTGTGAGCTTCCTAGCCCATGGAACAAGGCAGAGTTCAAAAGACCACATGGCTGACAGGCTGAGGAGAGAGAGAGAGAGACGTGGCTGCTAGCTGAGAAGTGGTACTGCTGAGAACCAGATTATCCTTAATGTTTTCTGATCCTACCTTATGGTAACCTGGTAACTTCCATACTGAATCCTCATAATCATGAGGCTGATTTATAGCAATTGCAATGGATGATGAACCCCAGAAAAGAAGTAGAGTGTCATGGGAGGAATGGTTGGTGTCAGAATGGAGTGAAAGAAGGATAGACGGTAGAGGCCTTGGGGCAATCAGCCTTGGACTGATGTGGAGATGGATTCATCTTCTCCTTTGTATAGACGAAGAATATCAG